TGTCGCCGTCGTCGTCGTCGTCGTCGTCGCCGTCGTCGTCGCCGTCGTAGTCGCTGTCGTGCCTCTATTCCGAGGCGTAACCATAGTGATTAGCGATCGATAACAGGCATGCGCGTTGTCAAATTTACTCGTAAAACGAAAGAACCACCCTCGTTTTACTCTCTCGTATCAAATGATTCATTACTAATAAAGATTAACGAAACTACATCTCCGATGATCTATGCATCTCACTCTATGTTACTCACCATCATATTCTTTATTGTTCTCTATCGTGTGTATCGGGCTCGAGTACGATTAACGATTTCTTTTTTTTTTTTTCTTCTTCTTTTCCAATTAATTCAATTAATTTAATTACACTTTAGATATAGATTTTATCCTTACGAGTAACATCTTGATGTAACATCTGTACGTGATTCAATGAAGCATATACGGAAGTTTTAAAATTATATATTGATAAACGATTTATATTTTATAATACTATAAATACTATAAATACTGTAAAAATTTCACAATATTATAAAAATATTTATTGAGAAGATTAAATTTATGTAATTAAATTTATTTTTAACCATTTATATTAGATATTCGATAAGTAAGAATAATACAAATAATGAAGATAGTATTATATAGTATTTTTTGTCATTAAATACATCAATAAATTTATTTTCAAAATTGAACTTATAGATTTATTGTTAATATATAACGCGTATATATTTTAATGATATTATGTGTTCATAACTTTTAAATATATGAATTGCGCGATAAAAAAGTAAAAATTAAGTACAAATTGGGAAAAAAATTTAATTTAAAATTTATTTAATCTGTAATAACATTTAAAATAGTTTTTTGGTCGGAAGAAATTTGTATTAGAATTTTTGAGCGCGGTACATTTCAATTTAATAAATAAGAAAAATAAAAAATAAAAATATTTGATCAAATTGTAGCATAAAACTTAATCATACATTATTATATAATTTTATATATTTATATATTATATTTATATATCTTATATATATATATATATATAAACGAGATACTAAAAAAAAAAAAAGAAATATACGACAATGACATTCAATTATCAATATATAGTCATCTTGGATGTATCATGAAAATCTGTTGAAATTAAATTTATTAAATTATCCATCTTTATAAAAATTTGTGTAAATTTATGTTGTCAAATTTTAAAAGAAAGTATTTTTGATTGTTATAATTATAAATTAATAGCATCTTTCGAACATAACCTATATTTTTTCGGTGTTTAATTGAAATCAATTTGAAACGATGTTAAAAAAAATAACATTGAATTTTAAATCAAATATACGTTTTCTTAGTAATTTATCAGCAAAATGTAAAGAAAATATTGAAGATAAAATGCAAGCTTGGCAAATTCATTCATATGGTGGTTTGGAAGAATTAAAACTCTCAAATGTCAGAATTCCAGTAATTAATAGACCAACAGATATTCTTGTGAAAATTGAAGCTTCTAGTGTAAATCCTATAGATATATATATGACACGTATGCAATATTTTATATTAATTATTTATTTATTAAAGTTTATTAAGTTTATTAAGTTTCAATGATAAATATTTAATATTTATAATTGAATATTTTGTATTAGGAGGATATGGTGCAGTAATTTTAAACTTATTAAGAAAAGCAAAAAATCTTACTAGTAGACAATATGACGAATTAGAATTGCCATTAACTTTAGGTAGAGATTTTTCTGGTATAATAGTTTCAAAAGGACATGGAGTTGGAAATAAATTAAAATTAGGTGATGAAATATGGGGTGTAGTTCCTGTGGAACAACAAGGTTGTCATGCTAATTATGTAGTTGTAAATAGTTCGCATGTAAGTAATATTAATTGGTTAAATGACCAAAAAAAAAAAAAGAACAAAATGTATAAATCAAAAAGTTATTTATCTATAGGTTACTTTGAGACCTAGAAATTTGTCGCATATTGAAGCAGCCAGTATATTATATACTGGTCTTACAGCATGGTCTGCATTGTGGATTACTGGTGCATTATATTGTAAAAGTATAATGCCTCTAAAAAGAAGTAACAAAGTTTTAGTATTAGGTGGTGCAGGAGGAGTAGGAACTATGGCAATACAACTTTTAAAATCTTGGGATATGAATGTAAATCATTCATCATATCAATAAATTTATTATTTCTATACATATTAAAACATAAATTAAATTGATTCAGGTTGTTACTACATGTAGTAGCGATGCTGTCAATTTAGTACAAAAATTAGGAGCTGATACTGTGATTGATTACAAATTAGATGGCGCTGATTCAAAAATAATTAGTGAAGGACCGTATGTATTTTATTCTTTAAATTTTCATTGATTCATTCTATGTAAAATGATATAAATTTCTAATTTATTTCTAATTTAGTTATAATATAATTTTGGATTGCGCTAATCAAGGACCAGATATGATAAGATTAAAGGGTTATCCTCATTCTACTTATATAACTTTAAATTCTCCAATATTAAAAAATACAGATCAACATGGATTAATAGCTGGCACAGTAAAAAATATAGGTGAATTGTTGAAATATAATATGTCTATTGTTGAAAATAGAAGTACAGTGAAATGGGGTTTTTTTACACCTTCAACAGCAGGAATTAAAACACTTAAAGAATTGGTTGAAACTGAAAAGGTAATATTAATTTCCATCGTTTTAATTTTAATTAATAATATATATATACATATACATGTACATATATGATTTTTTACTTTATTTAGCTTATTCCTGTAGTTAAAAAAGTATATTCATTTCAAGATTTACCACTAGCATATGAAAGAGTAGCTCAAGGTCATTTACGAGGTAAATTAGTTATTGATATGACATAGTATTATATCAACAATTAATTCAAAAAAATTAATAATAAAATTATTTCATACAATAAATATGCATTTTATGTTATACTTTGTTTACTATATTTTGTACTGACTCATTAATACAGAGAATATCATTTTCAAAACCAATTTTATTTCGAACATCATACCAACAATCATTAGCTATCTCGATCGCTTTTTCTGTACCATTCTTCAAAATTTCTTCTAAATACATTGGATCCTTAATTAATTTTGAATATTCTTTACGAATTGGAGTTAATTTTTCTATAATAAAATCTGCCAGCATCAATTTATATCTATAACACATAAACGATTAAATTAAAATAAAAAAATAATTTAAAATTGTAAACTAATGAAAAAAAAAAAAATTGAATTTTTTAATGTACATACTTTCCAGTATCTAATTCTTCTACTTCAGAACATATTTGATCCTCAGATTTTCCACTAAGCATTGAATGAATAATAATTAAATTTGAAACACCAGGTCTTGTTTCTGGTTCATAAGTTACTTTTGAAGTACAATCGGTAACAGCTTTTTTTATCTTTTCCAACAATATATCAGGTTCATCTAATAAATCTAATCTACTTCTTGAATCTTTCTCAGACTTTGACATTTTCTTTAAAGGATTGCGAAGAGATTTTATACGTTGACTTGCATTTTCTGCAATATATATATATATATTGTAGAGTATATATATATATATACTATTAGAAAAAAATAATTCATATGTTTATCATTATATATTTTTTGTAGAAATAAAATTTTTACCATTAACTAAAGAATGAGGTACAGGAAAAGTATCTCCAAATTTTTTGTTAAATTTAATAGCTAATTCTTGTGCTAATTGAATATGTTGAACTTGATCTTGTCCAACTGGAACATGTGTTGCCCTATAATTGAATATAAATAGTTTCTTCGTAAAATTAGTTTTAATTAAGTAATATAAAAAATTAATTGATCAATTTTTATGAATAATTGAAACAATAAAATATTCTAAGATAATATTAAGCATTATTAAGACACTTTAATTTGATTATTTTTGTGCATAAAATACTTACTTATATAGTAATATATCAGCAGCTTGTAAAATAGGATAAATATATAAACTCAAAGGGATGACTTTTAATGTCTGACTTTTTTCTCTATATTGAGGTAGGCGAGTTAATCGTGCTTGAGTTGAAAGACATCCCAAAATCCAACTTAATTGTGTATGCATGGATACAGTAGATTGTTGGAATAATATACTCTTCTTTGGATCAATACCGCATGCTAACAATGTTGCTGTCATTTTAAATATATTATCATTTAACTCTTTTGGATCCTATTAAATTATATTCACTTTCAATTCATATTTTTTTTTTTTTATTTTTGAAAGAAGATTTTTAAATTTATACACATATATGTAATACATTTATATTATTATAAACATATAATAATATAATATATTATTATTCTTATAAAACAAGAATTAATGAAATATAAGATTGTTTATATCATTATTGGTATATATTAAACACAAAATACATATTTAATAAATTCTTACATGTGATAAAGTAATAGCATGCATATCCACAATGCTCCAAATAACATTTTCTCCATTATTCTGGAATTGTATCCATTTTTGTATAGCACCAAGATAATTTCCCAAATGTAAATTTCCAGTTGGCTGAATTCCCGAAAATATTCTTTTTGGATAACATTTAGAAACCTGTAATTAATTGATATATTTAAATAAAAAATTAATACTTTTAATACTTTTAATACTTATTGTGAAACTTAACCTTTTGACTATATTTTTTTATGAGTATATATTTGGAATTAATTCTTTGAAAACTATGAATATTTTTTATTGTTTTAAACATTTTCAATAAATTAATACATTTAAATAGATTGTTATTTAAAATTAAATTCAAAATACGTGTTTTTAATTAATACTGAAAAACTTATCTAATATGAAGCTAAATGTATTCTATATTTTTTTATTTATATATATATTAATTTACTTATTATTTATATTATTATTTTTTATTTCTATATATATATATATGTGTAGTTATTAGTTTATGTACAAAATTATATATATAAATATTATATATTACAATTTGCGGGAATTTTAAAGAACATTTATATATATATGAAACAAATCAAGTCTTTTATGTAATTATTATTATAGAATTTGAATATTGTTTATTTTTGCACAATTAAAAGAATTCATTATAATTATATTATAATAAATATATTATATTTTCACTTCATATTCATATAAATATAATATAAATATATAAATTCTGAATATTATACTATACTATAAAATTTTGTTATAATATTGAATATCATCATTTTCATCAATGATGTGAATGATTTATTTGAAATTTTCTGATATATTTTTCTTTAATTCTTTTTTTATTAGATGATACATCATTATATATTTTTATAGATACTTTCATATGTCTTCCTAGAACTAATAACATTTTTATCAGAAAATAACTTCCGTTTAGCAGCGCTGATTAAAGAAAACCACCAATGAGTTTGTCAAGCTTAGTAAAAAAATATGTTTTAAGAACTATACTTTATTCAATGAGAAAAAATGTCTAAAGTAAATAAATCAAATATATAATGTTTTGAAATCACATAATATATAAAATTTGAAATTTAAAATATTAATTAAATAATATATCAAGATTAAGATTAGATTAAGATTAGATTATATCAATACATAAAACTATATTGATTCTCGCTTATAACATACTGATAATTATTTTTCATGAAAATAGATTCACATTATATTATTTATTGTAAATTTTTATCTTAGAAATTATTTATTGAAATTTATTTTTTTTTATTTTAATTAAAAGACAATTTAAAAATAATAATATTTTATCATATATAATTTACATTCTCAGATTTGTGAATCCAACTTTATTCATTTTAATTTTTACTCATAAAGTTTTATTTACATTCGGTGACTCAACTAGTTGGATAAAGTATAATACTTGGAATATATTTTTTTGTTAGGATTGGCAAACTCGATGTGATACGCAATTTCTACTATTAGTGTCATCTAGTAGAAATTATTAGAGCTAATATCTTCTACCACAGAATTTTCTTAATTTATATATACCCTTCGAAAAGCAATTTGCATACTGATTGTTGCACAGCTGATCTCGTAATATCATTTAGAACGATATTTTTTTGTGTGTTTTTTTAATACTTATGAAAAATCGACTGTGAAAGAACATTGCAGATATTTAGAGGTTTGTTTCGTATTTGTTAATAATCATATCTTATTCTTTTAACATTGTGACACATTCAAGGAAAATGTATTAAGCAAGTAATTCAGTAATAGTGAATGGATGAAAAGTGTATCGTCGAGATTTACAGAAGTAAAAACCGTGTGAATAATCTGTTTTGGTGTTTGAGTTTTATTTATTGGACTAGTCAACGGTTATGGTATATTTGTCGGGTACCTGGGGTATGGGAGAAACAAAATCGCAGTGCCATAATACAAATAATTCCTCCTTTCTGCAGGAGAATGATGAAGAAGTCGCATTATTACCACTCAAAAATCAGGTAATAATAATTTGTTTTATTTAATTATACTAATATATGTTTAAATAAAATATTGCCTAAATAATCTTTGTTACCATTTATTTTTTACCTTTCTATTTTTTAATAACAATATTTAATAAGAAAGATTGTTTTTGTTTGTTTAATTTTATGAATCGAAAACTTAGCAATTATATATTTTTTTCTTTTTTGCTTTTATTTGTTTTTATTTAATACATCATACAATTTTATATTCATGTTTATTCATTATTTATTCATGTTTATTTGTGAATAGAATTATTTATTTGTCATTCTTATTAAATAAAATATAATAAATATATATATAATAAAATATAATAAAAAAATATATTCAGAAAAATTATTAAAATTATAAAAGAATCAGAAAAAAAGAATAAAAGATAGTCAAAAAAGAATGAAATTATATATATAATATTATGATTCAGTAATGATTCATTAATAGAATTCTATGTATGCATTTTTTGAATATCTATTCATCAGAAATAAATAGAATTAAAAATAACAACTATAAATAAATTTAATTACAAATTGCATAAATATTTAATCAATGCACAAGACTTTTTATTTGTTATATTATATATTTAAAAATAAAACATTTTGTTTTGTAAAAAATATAACAAAATAATTTTATATGTTTTATAGGTTGGTGGACATACAAGATTACTTTTATTAAACCAAAATACTATTTGTAAACCATTAAACTGTAGAGAACTTGATTTTTATCAAAACATTCCACAAGATATTCAAGTTTTTGTTCCAAAATTTAAAGGTAAGATGGTTTTATTATTTTTTATTTCTTTCTTTTTCATTTTTTTTATCTTTTAATATATTTTTTTATTATTATTATTTTTTTAATTAATTATATTGATATCGATTGAAAGGATTAAATAATCAAATTTTTTTTATCCAGGTGTTTTGCAAGCTTCCAATAGTGGTGAAGTTACATTAGATAAACGTTACAGTCCTAGTTTTAGAGAACATGATAATAGACAAGGACATAATTCAAGTAAAAGAAAAAGAGAAGATGTATTAAGGTATGTATTTGAATGTTTTTATATTAAAGTTACATTAAATTAATTAATGCATAAATATTTTATTTTATAAAGATTAAAAATAATAAATTTTAATTATTAATTTTTTTGTATTAGAATGAAAATTCATCATGATAACACATTAGCAGGAATATTAAAACCAGGAATGCATTTGGACAATGCACCAAACAAGCAATGTATGTATGTAAACATTAAATAATATTTTTGTATAAGAAAGTTATACAAAATTAACATTTTTTATATAAGAAAAAAATAATATAAGAATTGTAATATATATGATTAATAATTTTTTCTATAATAATTGATAATTTTAATAATTGAAAAGAAATGATTGGTAATTTTTTTTTTTTTTTTATTTTCTTGAACTAAAAGATTTCCTTTTATTGGAAAATATAACATCACAATATACTCATCCATGTATATTGGACCTGAAAATGGGGACCAGACAACATGGTGATGATGCATCTGTTGAAAAACGTAATAAACAAATTGCAAAATGTGCTGCTAGTACATCAGCTTCATTAGGTGTTAGATTGTGTGGAATGCAGGTTCGTGATATATAATATAATATTGAAATGATATATAATATTTTTATATTGAAGTCTATATAATATTATAATATTAATAATGAAAGTAATAGTAGCAGTAACTTTATAAAATTTTATAGTAAGATATTACAAATGTGATACATAAGTGATATATATTATAGGTTTATCAAGCCAATACCAATCATTATGTGAAAAGGGATAAATATTGGGGTAGAGCATTAAATGAAGAAGGTTTTAAAGCAGCATTGTATCGTTTTTTTCATAATGGCTTTTGTTTACGAACGTTAGTTATCGAAAAAGTGGTATCACGATTAGAACAATTACGACGTGCAATAGAGAGACAAAGCAGCTATCGATTTTATTCGTGGTAATTTTTCGTTGGAATATTTTCAAGAACACTATTATTTAGGAGTTAAAAAGAAAAGTACTCAATTGCTTTTAATATTCAAATTTTTTATTACGAATATTATATTAAAAATGTCAGAAATTCATATGCTCCATATTAAATTTGTTTTAGTTCATTATTAGTCGTTTATGAAGGTTGTCAAATGGATTTTTCGGGGTTTGGTCATTCATCGTCTTTATTACAAATGGACGAAGATTCAACAAATTCTAGTTCTATTAGTGATGACGGTCCTCATACTTCGGATAGCTGTTACGATGGTGACATAAGTAACAGTTCCACAGATTATAATCTTTCAATCGAAGAAGAAATCGGTCAAACGAGTACTTTACGCAGAGGATTTGGCAAGGCAACAACTCGAGAGGCCAAACGTATCGCCAGATTTTACCCTACAAGGTTTGTAATTGATATTTTTTTTTCAATCATTAGCGGGTAAACATTGTTGTTAACATTTTTAGATAAAAAAATATTGATTGTTTCGTTTCGATTCGTAAATATTTGTAAATATTATATATTTAATATCAATATTAAATTTATACATATTAATAGATTATAATAATAAAATAGATTTAAAAATAAATTGTATACATAATCTTCTTTAAAATTATATGAATTAATATGAACAAATAAATATGATATATTTCAATATTTTACAATGCAAAACGATTCGATACGGAAAGATCTGAATTAAATCTGAATTAAATTCCTAACGTTGTGATTTCGTCAAAAATTTATAGCAAAATATAATTTCAGGTGTAAATCTTCGTTTACATTTTTTTACGTTTTATATATTATTTATGAAATAATTTATTTAGTTATATTTTTATTTATATTTATTATATTTTATACATATATATGTATATTATTTTGATGTATTACAACAATAGGAATCTAACAAATATTTCTTTTTCTTTTTCTTTTAAATATTATAATTAGATGATAATTGCACATATCAATATAAACAATTTAATACATTTAACCCTCCGATATATTTAAATAGAATTCGGAATGCACAATCTGGTGAAGTATGTATGTATAAGGTATATCATGCGTATATTTTTTAGTAATTCGTCCGAATCTACGTATTATATGTATGTGTACTATATTTTTTTTTCTTTTCTTTTTTTTTCTTTTTTTCTTTCTTTTTTGTGTATATGTTTTCTTTCTTTAAATAAATCATTTATCATAATTTTTATCGAAACTTCTACTAAAGTAATCGAACAAGATAAATTACATTTGTTAAAATTTAAAATAATTGTATATATCGAGATGTTCATATATTAATATTCATTTTCAAATTGAAAATATAACATACTCCATCAGAAAATTGGAGGGTTAGTTATTACGACGATTTCAATATATATTCAAATTATTTATTTCAATTATATTTTGTTAAAAACCGGTTTAGAGAAAATATCGCATTTTCACTCCCTTAGTGTATTGATACTCATAATAATTAAAAATTATTCTAGGTAATATAGCATTATAAATATTTCTTAGAGTAGGTATATACATTTTACATTAGTTTTTATACATTGTACAATTTTTTTAATCAAATAAACACTCTTTTACAAATAAAAATGACTCTTTTACAAATAATCGCTATATTGTATATATTATAGACTTGAAAATTTATTACTTGTAATTTAAAATAAAAATTAATGGTTCTTTATTAATTTTTTATTAATAATTTATATATATATATATATATTTTATTACATATTACTTATATATGTATATGTATGTATAACTTAATTAAATATATGTATGTATATAATATAATTCTATATAATATATATAGAAAATATTGAACAGACATAAGAGAAATTTTCATTATATTTGCTCAGACTAAGAAGTATTTATTTACAATAATAATTATATAATTGATTTATTAACTGATATAAACAATTTGCTCTATTTACATTTTTCTCTAGGAATCAACGAAGGAAAATCGTTCACTCATAAAAATCATAACTTATTTTCCATCGAATCATTACACTAAAAAACTGATATTGCGATATTTTCGTAATTTAAGCATGTATATTTCTGTGTACCATCACTTTTTAGAAAACTGCTCTTTATTACGGCCGAACTATAATAAAGCGCGGCAATACCAGTCCCTAATCGAGCCCAGTTTCTTACTAGGGGAGGATCAAAGCTGAAAGTGGTGGATTTCAAAATCCTTTCGTAGGTATATTGTTGCTCAAGTGTAGAGTACAGCTCTACAAAAGTTATTAGGTGCAAATATTTCTGCACTAAAATGAAAAAAAAGTTAAAGGGACATTTACATTATATCATGCGTATGCGCATATATGTATATGTATGTGTATATGTATCTGTATATGTCCTGCATATGTATATGTATATATGTATTTATGAAAAATATTTTATATTTTGTAAGATGTATATTATATGTATTGATAAAGTTAGGGAATAGTTAGGGAAAGAAACATGAATGAGAGCTGTTTCTTTGCAATTTAAATTTAATATATATTTGGATGTATTTAGATGCATTTTAATATTGATGTTTTTATAAACGATTTTTATTTTAATAACGATCACATATATTTTAAAAAAGTTATGAAAAAAAGTATATAAACGCGAGATATTTCAAAATTATTTTGTTATTTTCATTATTTGATAAATGAAGGATACGAGTTATTAATTGAAATTGTGAATATAAAAAATTAATTTGTTTATATATACTTAATCGATTTTATTTTTATTTTTTTAAAGGAATATTATATTTTTTTTATTAGTTTATATAAATGTTGTATTTTTAGATCTTATATATGTATGTATACGCAACATATATAGATATACATGTATGCATACATGTGCAAATGTGCGTGCGTGTATGTATATCTATTTTTTATCACTCATTGAATGTATATTTTTTAATTTAATTAATAATTTAACTCGATTAATCTTAATAATCTGCAATAAACGAAATTAGGCATACATGACGTTTAGTAAGTGGTGAATTTTGTTATATTGAAAATATATTTATACAAATTATTTGTTTATCTTTTTAAGTTTGTATATGCATATGTGTATATTAATATATATATATATATATATATGTATATTAACATGTATACACTTTTATTTTATGACACAAACTAAAAAAGATAAATTGTTAATATATGTATAGAGTAATAAGTGAGTAAAAAAGTATAAGTAAAATAATAAAATTTAAAAAAAATAATAAATTATATAATATTTATTATTAATCAATTATAATATTATATAATATTACCATTTAATTAACCTTTTTATAAAATTTTCTTTGTAAAGCGAAAATCTATATGTTATAGGTTAAATATAAAAGACTGTAGGATAGCTATAAATATTTTTTACGAAAAGCGCGAATTATGTATCCACTTTAAAGGCTTTGTATATTTATCATAATATATAATATTAATAATTTATAGATGATTAATATTTAATAAAGAAAAATATTTGAAACGATGAAATATATTTAAAATAAATATTTGCATATTCATAAGGCTTATAATATTATTAACATATTTGAATCGCATATATTAAAACAAAATTTTTGTTTGTATCATAAAATAAGAAAAAGAATTTTTTGAAAAGAATTTCGCCATTTACTTTGCATCCTGTATACGAGATATAAACATTCTCTTTTACTCGAAATATATGACCCACAGGGCCTGCATGCCCGCTATGGTCTGGGCAGTAAAAGGGTTAATAGATGGTAAGAGGTCATACATTGTACCATGTGAAATCTAATGACAGGGCTGTGTGAAAACTTCGTTGTATCTCATTTCATTAAAATGGGAAACGTATTAAAAATTTAAGAGATCGAATCATGATTTAAATGAAATTTTAAATTAAATGATAAAATTCCAGATGTTATTCATAAAATTAAGATTTTATCTTATTTCAAGCATTTCCACCTTAAATATGTACCTAAGTATCTATATATAAGAAATGTATATGTATATAAGAAAATTTTATGATGTATCTAATAAGTTAATTTGCGTTTTAATTGTCATTATTTTTCAATACGATACATATTACGTACATATGCATGAAAAAAAAAATTGAAATAATAGTAAGTATATATGTAAACGTATATCTATAAGTGGAAATTATATATAACGTTTGTTACATTAAATATATTAAATTCATTTAGTTAAGGAACGTTAATAGAATTACTCTTTATTACATTTATTATATTAAATTTGGTAATTTTGGAACAGAAAGTCAATAAAAAAAATAAATATTTTTATGCATTTATTATATATCGCATGTTCTCTGCCGAGACATTTCGAACTTTTTGCGCGGCCCATAATAAATCTTTTACATGTTAATATTCGATAATATCTGAAGAGAAGGAAATAAACCAAGCAATAATAGTTAATAATGCATTCTATGCGATGACCAACTGACAATCCCAGCAGTGAGGAGACAGTTTTCGTTGGATCTACGGACAGCTTGATCGACAGGATGCTCCAATCTCCCAGATACGAACAATGGATGGTTTATGGAACTTCGAGCGATGAATATTGTTTTGGACAAAGTTCGGATAATGATACGCAAGATGCTAATTCTGATATTGAAATTAGATCTGATCCTGGAATAAAGCGACAGAAACATGGGCATGAATTATTTCATATTTACGAAAGAGAAAAGAGAATAGAGAAAGAACTTAAATGTGCCAATATGTCGAACAGATATTCGTAAGTAATTTTGCTATAAAAAAAAAAGGAAAGAAAGAAAAAAAAAACTATTTGACACGTATCTGAAACTGATAATTAAACCGATAATTAAAAAAGAAATAATATTTTAATTCACAGATACACATCTTATCCTTATCAAATGAAAAAAATGAAACAGAAATCTCAGGATGCATTGGTCGACGTAAGGATCATTGATTTTGCGCACACGACCTTTGTTCACGGTTCTACCATGCCTTGTAACTCGGCTCACGCTCCTATGGTACATCAAGGTCCAGATTGTGGTTTTCTAACCGGTCTGGATAGTTTAAAGCGACTTCTACTTGAAATTTTAACTGAAGGTTAATTGCTAAGAATTTGTTATAAATTTCTCTGTATACATATAAAGAACGATACATAAAAAGGAAGAATCGACGAAGAATTTTTAATTTATATTAAAAACATTGATGACAAAACTCTGATTATCTTATTAAATGTGATTGATTTCTGTGAAACAAATCTGTACATATGTATTTTGAATGTATGATTTTACATAGCAAAATTTTACTAAATGTACCAGTGAGTATATGTGAGAAATTTATGAGTCTGTATTGAAATATGTGAATGTGAATTATATACAAAAAGTATTATTTAATTCATATATTCATCAGATGAATATATATATCTACATATACATATATATATATATATACATATATATATATATATATATATGTATATATGTATATGTGTATGTATGTGTATATATATATATATATGTACATAGCTTGTACATTACGCGAGAACCGTTGTCGGTTATTATATGTACATATGATTCTTAATATAAAAATATTCGAAAGAAATATTTTTAAGAAACAATGTATTTATGTATTTTTTCCCTTCTAGATTTATCAATTTAAATCATAGTATAATTCATAGATCATTCAATAATCTGTTAGACTTATACATATAAGAACATATAAATATTTTTTACAAGATACATAGGATGACAAATAATTTAAATGATTTGACCACATATGAAAAATATATGTAGCTAATTTATATACAATAATATATACGATACATTCTTCAATTTATTTGTTGAATTATTTTCATCAAATTAAAGTACTAAGATGCAAATTTTTTTTTCACATGAATGCGTGCGAGATTTTTTGATTTTTTAAAATATTTTTTAAATCGATCGATTATACATAGATTTAAGTGGCCTTTCTTCTTTTCCCCACTTACTGCACGTATCGATCTTCTTGAAGGTAACGAAGTTGAATTACTCCTAGGAGACCATTGCCTGGTACTAAATCGTATCCAGTTATCGATGAAACGCGAAAGGAAAACGGTAATGCGCGTCACGCTCGTTTACGATTGTTAAATGAAATAAAGCCTCATAGTTATATGTGAAATTAATTGTTCTTATAGGATATTTACCAACTATTCGGATAACACCTGCATTTATTTTGTGCACTCGAATTATCTCAAACTTTTGAAAAACTTTCTTGAATAACTTTCAGGAATAATATTTTTTTTCTGTAAATGTAAAGAAATCGAAAAAAATCGAATTTATGTTTCCATTCCATTTTTTTATTTTTTTTTTTTCTCTCTTGAAATGAATAAAATAAATAAATGATTAAGGAAGTAATTAATTATTAATAACGGTACACGTACCGTTACTTGATCTTAGTGCATAACGTTTTAAAAATTACAAAACGGACGATATGATATGAAATATTGAAAATATAAAATATTTTTAAATAATCAAAATTAAATAATCAAGTAACATTGCAAAAGAAAAAAAAAAAAAGAATGTTGAATGAATCTCTGTCGAAGGATGAAGATGTGTATAAAGAAAAGAGGAAGAGAATCGAAGTGGGGAGATGGTGGTTTTAATTTTAATGGAACATAATTACTGTGTTAATGTATAACTATTGACTGTATACAACATGCAGTTTTATTCGACTACTTATGTATGTATGTATACCAAGCGCGGCACGCGTAACATTCGCTTCGATTCTTCTCAGTATGCGGTATATTACTAATACATGCATGTACAATAATGTGTATACTGTTTCTTATGACTAGACAAGTCATAAGCGTGACTGATCGTACTCTCGTTCGCGATCGAAGTCGAGAGCGAACGAATTTTAAACGAAACTTTACATTATAAAAAATTAAGAAAAAAAAAATATATATATATACATATATCCACGCTCGAGAAGTGTAAATATCGAAAGGGGAAGATGAAAACGATTGAAACATTGATCGTATCGATAATACAATAAAAATTATATTAAAACAAAAAAAAAAAAATAGATCGAAAGATGGTGTATGATCCGGTGTCTGAAGAACAGAAGAAACAATTTTTTAGACAGTGTTATGCCGCTCATTTACCTGGGTAAGATTTGATAGGTAGATAGACACGCGTACTTGCGAGAATATT